AAACAAAACAACGAGTGAAAAAGAGAAACATGTGGGAAAAATAGTGCTATTCATGCTCTCAAAGGTCAGATTAAATACTTTCAAGAACAACATATAAAGACAGACAAGAGAAAAAAGAAATCGATCAGTTGCAAAAAAAGATTGAAAATTACAAAAAGTCTGTAATAATTTATATCCTTTTATATCTAAATATATAAATACAATTTGATAAATATATTTTTGGTTTCAGTATACAAATATTACTTGAGGCTTTTAAAGAAAATGTGGATCAAATGATTTCAAGTTCAAATAATCCAAATACGATTATTACATACATACCTTTGATGAAGACGTAATTGAATATTGTACATAATTTTGTATATTTGTGTTTTATTTTTAAAAGATATATATTAAGTTTAAAAAAATGACAATTGGTTTAAATTAAAGAAGGGAATTAAGAGCTAAAGTAAGAAGTTTACAACAAGAACTTACTAAAGTGTCAGTGGTAATTATGATGATACTTTAGTAAGTTCTTGTTGTAAACTTCTTAGTGACACTATCAAAGGAACGAAATGTTTTGTCTGAAGAACATGTCAAAGTAAAGTATGTAGACTTTGTGATAATATTAAACAAATTTTAAGCAAGTAAGGTGCCATATTTTCCGTTGTATTATTTCTAGGAAATTTGAAGATTTAATGAATTGTTGAAGCAAAAAGATGTGTTTACAAAATGAACTTAGAAGGTTAGAAAAAGAGATGTCTTTAAAGCAAAAGTCAATTAATTCATAAACAGTGAATATATCAAATACTAATTCAAACAATGACTCTAAATAAGATGAAATCGAGAAAATAGTTAATAACGTAGAAAATGAGGAAGAAGATATGGATTAAGAAGAAGAGAAACAATCTACTATTACAGTAATTAAAATAACATTATTTTTATAATATGTCAATATTCAAATTGTATATATTCAAATTTTTTGTAAATTCTAATTGATTAATGATTTATTTTCAGAAAAATGAAACAAGTTCTCCATATCTTCCAGTCAAATCAAGGGGAATATTTGCTTTAAAGCAACATATAACTCAAAAACATAATACAATGAAATTAAATTTTCAATTCTTAAAAAAAAATTTAAGTCTTGAACAAGTAGGATCTATAAATGTAGCAAAACATATTGTAACTTTAAAAATAATAATCGTTATTCTTTCATACAAATTTTTTATTTAGGAAAAAGTAAAAACTAATATAATTGCATTTGACGATTCCCGAAATGCATGACGAAATTTTGATAATTCCCTAAGTCTTCTAATACTATTAGACAATATAATTTTTCGTCTTGTATGCTTTGTATTTGAATATTGTATATGAATAATGTTTACATGTAAATATCAAACTGCGATTAATTCAGCAAAGATCTGAGAAAATTATAAAATGAATTCAATTATACATAAATAAGTCGGAAAAAAGTTTATCGTGATATTTTCTATTAAAAATCTTTTATATACATATATTATAGATTTTTATTACAGAATTTGATGTCTAATAAAATATTAATATCTCTATAATTATGTTTTTCTATTTATATAAATAAATAATAGAAGTACTTATCTCTAAAAGCTCATATAATTTTAAATAATTGAAATCTTAAATATACTTTGGCACTAGAATTATTTATATTCTTGTAAGTAGATAATTTTCAAATAAAAATTCTGAATTTATTTACTAAAACCCTATTTTCATAAAGAAAATTACCGAATAATGTTCACTAATTATGGTAAATGAAACGATAATAAAATCACTAAATCTTGAAAAATACATGCATCTATTGTGCAGAATGTTAACATATTATTTGCAAATTTTCTGCATATTACTTACATATTATTTATTAATTTCCTACATATTCCCTTACATATTGTTTTCATATTTTTTACATATTTGGAGGTGCATAAAAATCTGCAATTTACACATTGTGTAAGATTCTTATATCAATAAAATAATATTACTGTATATTATTTAAAAATTATAAGTAGTAATTAATGAAATGACTATCATCAATTTTGACAGTATGATTTACAAAAATGCATTATCACTATTTCTATCACTAATCTTAATGGAATTAGAATTAATTTCCATCTCAAAAGAATTTTGTTTTTTTACTTGAAAGTTATTTAGAGATCTTTTAATCGATTTAAAGATCAATGTTGCAATTCTTTCAATACTATTAAAAATATCACATTTTTAAAATATGAATTTGGTAACATTGTTACTAGACAACTACTAGATACACAATTGCATATAAAATAATATAATTTATTACTACCAAAAATCTGCAAAGTTTCAAATAAAAAATTAGAAAGTTCATTTAGCTAGTAGAAATATTAACTAATCCATGTAAAAAATGTTTGAAAATTATACAAAAAATTAAAAAATACATTAGATAAGAGAAATAAAAAAAATAAAAATTTTCGTAGTGTTAGAATGAGTGCGTGATTGTGGGGAAACAGCAGTATGTATGTATATGTGTTTGCCACTAGGCCAAGCATGGGCCTGCTCACTGACTTCATACAATACAGCAGTATGGCCTTCCAGAACGTTCTAGCGGTACGATGCCGATCTTCTCTTTTTTTTAAGAAGACATGAGTCCGCAGTCAGTCAGTCGTCGCCTTCGTCAGTAGTAAGAGCGAGCACATGCTGTCAGGATACAATTTAACACGTAGTGAAATATAATTAATTGTAAACATAAATAATGAAAGTGTAGTTAATATTTATTTGCATATTATTGGAAATTCTATGATTTAAATATTGTCTTTATTTATTTTCGAAATACATCATTTTTTAAATAATATTAAAAAATAATTTTTTATATACATATATGCATATAATGGTTATACAATGCAAATAACGATTAGTTTGAAATGTTTATACTGTTCCTATATAATAATTCTAAATGTTGAACGTTTATATGGAGTTAACGTACTATTCTTCCGTAAGAAGAAGACACACCGTGTTTACATCTCCCGTCCTGTTGTAGTCTGCTAACTCTCCTATGATCACAAGTAGTGATCGCCATTGGTCAAAGATAGTGACGAAGATCAACGATGGAACCTAGCAAAGCCGAATAAGACAGAATAATGGCAGCATTAGCGTAGTCTTTAAATCAAAATGCAGGTGATTTTGTGTAATAGTAGCTAACATTTAAATTGGAAATCTACGCCGATGCTGCTATTATTCTGTCTCAATTTCGTCTCGCTAGGCCCCGTCGAGCTTCGTCAGTTTTCAGCCAATGGCGATCACTGCATATGATCATAGGAGAGTTAGCTGTGTAGAACAGGAGTGGGGATGTAAACACGGTGTGCCTTTTTGTGGAAGAATAGTCCGTTAAATTTATTTTAAAGTAACGTTTGAAGTAACTTAAGTTGAAGTCCATAACAAAAATTTGGAAATTTACGCCGATGCTGCTATTATTCTGTCTCAATTCCTTCTCGCTATGCCCCGGCGATCTCCGTCAGTTTTCAGCCAATGGCGATCACTGCATATGATCATAGGAGAGAGTTAGCTGTGTACAACAGGAGTGGGGATGTAAGCACGGTGTGCCTTTTTGTGGAAGAATAGTCCGTTAAATTTATTTTAAAGTAATGTTTGAAGTACGTTAAGTTGAAGTCCATAACATAGCATTAACGAAAAATATCAGTGATAACTCTATATGTAGCGTATAAGTGCTTATCTATAGTTTCGCATTTACACATCTTATTCAGTTAGGTACAAAATGAATATTGTTTGTGTAATATGCAGTGATTTGTTAGTACCTTCTGATGATGTTTTTCATACACCATGTAGACATATTTTTCACTTTGCTTGTGTAACTCAATGGCTAGAAGGGTAAGAATGTTTCACATTAAATTTCAAAATAAAATAATATTTTTACTTTAATAAATAATGTTTACATTTCTTATATTTTAAGAAATTTTAAATTTTCTTTATGCACATCAAAAACCTGTCCACAATGTAGGGAAAAGACTACATTGAATAAAATTCATAGAATATATTTTAATTTTGCTAATAGTGATAACATTAGTGAAGATACATGCTCATTGCAAGATAAAATTGATAAATTAAATTTCCAGCTTATGATGAAAGAGAAGGACAATAAACATTACACAGAAAAAATTAATACAGTAGAGAAACAAAACAATGAGTTGAAAAAGGAAGTAAGAAAAGTAGAAAGTGAAATAAGTGCAAAAAATAGTGCTATTTATGCTCTAAAAGAGCAAATTAAATACTTTCAAGAACAAAATTTGGAGGCAGTGGGGAGAAAAAAAGAAATGTGCTTTGAACAGTTGCAAAAAAAGATTGAAAATTACAAAAAGTCTGTGATAATTTATATCCTTTTATATCTAAATATGTAAATATAATTTGATAAATATATTTTTTGTTTCAGTATACAAATACTACTTGAGGCTTCTGCAGAAGATGTGGATCAAATGATTTCAAGTACAAGTAATCCAAATACGCTTATTACATATATATCTGTGATGAAAAGGTAATTAAATATTGTATATAATTTTGTATATGTGTGTTTTATTTTTAAAATATATACATTAAATTTAGAGAAATGACAATTGGTTTAAATAAAAGAAGGGAATTAAGAGCTAAAGTAAGAAGTTTGCAACAAGAGCTTACTAAAGTTTCAATGGAACGAAATTTTTTGTCTGAAGAACATGCCAAAGTAAAGTATGTA